AGCAGACGGGACTCGAACCCGCATCCTTTGCTACCTCGGCCCTGACGGCCGTTTCGAATTTTCTCTAGCCTTTCTTAAGCTGCAAGGCAGCACCAACCTCGCGTAATTGTAGGTAACCCACAATGTCAAACGAATACCTTTACAAGTATTAAACATTTGAAAGAAGAAATAGCAATTATAGATGATTAAATCTAAAGAAAAAAGAATCTTTAGATTTAAAACATCTAGCAGTTACATGCTTAAAAAATTACAAATATAAAAACGGCTCATGTTTCGCACAATGTGTGCGTGTGTAGCGACGAGCATATCTACCATATGTAGTCTTAGATTAAAACAAAAAGGGTAGATACGGTACGCTCATACTTGCATCAAACAAAAACTGATCCCACGGCAGCGCGAACGGGACGGCGAGATCCGCGTCACTGCATTACCGACCCGAACGAAACAGCACGTTAAGTTTCAACGGCAGCGCGAACGAGACGGCGAGATCCGCGTCACTGCACTATCGACCAATCACGCGACCAGTACTCGACGTCACTACAGAATAAGATTCAAAACAAACAGCAATTTTTATGAAAAAATATATTTTATAGTACTTACAAATGAAAAGTGATGCAGTGGGTTTTATTTTTAGTTCTTGAGCAATTTGAGCACTTTTTAAAAACATACTTAGGCATTGTTTTATCATATAAACACAAAATATTATCATATTTCTTTTTGGCGTTCACATGTACGTCGTTTGCATGTCAAGTTGTGACTAAAGCGATTAGGGTCGTGGACCACAATTTTTGCGGATCACTTTTGTGAGGCTAGTGCCGTATCTACCCTTTTTGTTTTAATCTAAGTATGTAGTAGATATTTTTATGCCGCTTCCGTGCAGTTAATACGGTATCGCTATAATAGGGTACAACGCGGCCTTATACATCGCCCTGTTTATTAAGCCTTGTGTTTGCCGACGTTGGAAAGCGATGATAGATGTGAATCGGTATCTACGGCGAACTGTAGACGACTGTGGACGCCTGATGTACCCGTAAGTTTGGTCACATTGAATATGCTGTTACAGAACATGGATAGTAAATAAATATTTCTAACACTCACACCGATTAGCCTTGCCCCAAAGTAAGCACTGTAAAGCTTGTGTTATGGGATACTAAGGTAACCGATAGGAATACATTATACTGTTTATAATAATATAAGTTATTTACGGGATTGTTACCATGTACCTTGTTTTTAGCGAGTTTCCGAGTGAGGAGTGAGACTCCGTGATCATGGCGCTTGCAACAGTGCCGAAATATCGGCAATCAACTCAATCCCTTGAACATCTTATATTACTATAATGTTAGTGACCATGAATTTAAAACAATATATTATACTGTTTATACTGATGATACATTATATATAGTAAGTAGTCCATGAGCAAGAATCCCCAAGAAATCAAACCTACATTAGTAAGTAAGTGGGCCATGATCACGGAGTCTCACTCCGTGATCATGGCGCTTATCGGAGTGAGACTCCGTGATCATGGCGCTTGCAACAGTGCCAAAATATCGGAAACTCGCTAAAAACAAGGTACATGGTAACAATCCCGTAAACAACTTATATTACTATAATGTTAGTGACCATGAATTTAAAACAATATATTATACTGTTTATACTGATGATACATTATATATAGTAAGTAGTCCATGAGCAAGAATCCCCAAGAAATCAAACCTACATTAGTAAGTAAGTGGGCCATGATCACGGAGTCTCACTCCGTGATCATGGCGCTTGGCGGAGTGAGACTCCGTGATCATGGCGCTTGCAACAGCGCCAAAATATCGGAAACTCGCTAAAAACAAGGTACATGGTAACAATCCCGTAAATAACTTATGTTAATTACTATAATGTTAGTGAACATGAAAGTTTAAAACAATATATTATACTGTTTATACTGATGATACATTATATATAGTAAGTAGTAAGGCACCGGGATTCGAACCCGGAGACCTCTGAGTAGGCGACACCTTGAAATCAGGCGTAAATACCTACCACTCGATAACGAAGGTCGTCATATTATCATCGATATTATACCTACACTAGCTGACCCAGCGAACTTCGTATCGCCATAAAAATATGGGTGGTGAGGGTTGAAAATTAAGGGTTGTTTGTGTTTTTAATATTACGATACATAGGTATTTAAAGTAGTTTTTTTTCTTCAGATGATTTAATAATTATTTTGACCACAAAATTGGTTATTGTGATTAAACCATGTTAGCTAGATATATGTTCTCGCGGACTTTTTTGTAGGTCTTAATGGGATCTACAAACCCGTAGTACATAATTTTGTTCTATTGTCAATAGTTTTTGCAGCGCACGCACAAATAGGTTTTCGATTTTACACCTTGTGTTACAAAATAGTAATTTTATTACGGATCCCTAATTCCTATAGCTTTCCTCGATAAATGGACTACCCAACACTGAAAGAATCATTCAAATCGGACCAGTAGTTCCAGAGATTAGCGCGTTCAAACAAACAAACAAACAAACTCTGCAGATTTATAATATTAAGTATAGATTTTACTTTACAGATTAGTTATGTATTATTAGAATGAGATCTTTTTATTATTAAATATGGCGGTTTGGTTGTTACATAAGTTTTAGGAGAAATCAAATGCTTCACTTGACGACTCTGTTAATAATAATACAGGGACAAAAGAGCAGCCCTTGCTGAGATTCTGAGGTCTCCCGCCGTAGATTTACGAACCGATGGCGTAGCTTCTAGACATTCATGAGTGCTTGTAACAACCTTAACTAAATAAATAATTTTGATTATGCAGGTGCCTATATTACGATTCCAGGAGTAATTCTCCCGTCGGTCTGATGGTCCATTGAGCTTTTGCATTTTAACCGGTCTCTGTTAAGTTCAATGATAAACACGATAAAACATGATAAAACTCCTTTTTTAATCAAAATTCATCACATTAAGTTGACAATTGACAGATGCATGATAATAATATCCCTTCCAGAATCCTATCTGTTCCCATAACGATTCAACACGGCCGTCAATCCAATGTACTGGACTAACCCACTTACAATACTCAATCCATACACCCACTACGTATTTAGTATGGGAAAAGATCTGTTCGCAAAGACCATCGGTCACGGTGATTTTGTACGCTCCGTACGCGTGTCTAGGGGAGTACGGAAATCACAGCGATAATTACTTTAGTATGCTTCGATAATATGTAATTCGATTGTTTTGGCTGTTAGACTTCAAAGTAATGTTCGGAACACTATTTACTGGTAGGGTTGCCACCCGTACTTTATTATAAAGTATTCTACGTTATTTCGGATAATAGGGATGATGACTATTTGTTTTTCTTCGTTATCAGGTAGATTATCAAAAAGTATTGGACACGTATTTTTTATTTTTTCACATAATATAAACACTGCAGAGATATATTGATTTGAAAATTCGCATGACGTCATGTTTGAGTACACTTATAAGTGAAAATTCACTCAAAAGTGACGTCACGAGTCCCTACTCCCAAACTTTGACGCGCTATAACTTTGTCATTTTTTGGTTGATTGCCCAAAGAAAAAATACGTGTCCATTATTTTTTGATCATCTAACGGACGGAATAAATAGAATTTCGTATACTGTACCCCGTCATCACCCCTATTGTACTCTATACTTTATGCCAACAATAAAGTACGCGATTATACTTTTTTCAATGTAGGTTTGATTTCTTAGGGATTAATTTTACATAAAATATGCATAACGAGCTTAATAGGAAGATTTTTTGCGTAAAACGGAACGACAGTATGTATAATAAATGTCGCCCTTAGCTTATTCCCTGCAAGATTATCGTGGCAGTATGACTTTGTATTAGTACCATGGCCTTTCCCGTTGCGGATAAGAACTACAGATTTTTAGTAGGCACACATTATTTATTTAAAGTTGCTAGAGGCAACGTTAAATATATTTTAAGCTTGCGACTAAAGTGAAATAAAATGTGCACTTTATTATGGACACAACTTACTTTATTTGAACAAAATGGTGGCAACCCTATTTACTGGTCACCCTTTTAATATAAAAATCGTTACTAAAAATCAGTTCCTCGACAATAAGAAGGATTTTCTTTTGCAAAACTAGCAGGCTTATGTTACTTGGTTTTAGCCAATTAATTTTCCGGTATAAGATAAATTTTTATACCCAAGTGAAATCCAGTAGCTAATATGTAGAACACTAAGCTACTATAATTATTAACCTTACTTAGCAAACCAATATGCGAAAAACCCTGAAAACTTAGTCAAAACACATTGCACCACAAAGTGAATTTGATTTTGTAGTCATGTTATTTTCAAAAACGTCCTGATTTTAGTTGAATCAGTAAAACAATGGTTATTCAAATATATCATATTCACTGGGGATATCATTTGTTTGGGTTTATCAACTTTCAGGGTAAGTTTACTTTTGTAGTCTTAGAGTAATATCTTTCCGAAAAAATACAATTCAGGAGCACGCAATTAGCAGGAGCTGGCAAAGATATGCATGATTATATTTCCTTTTTTTTTATTTTTTAACTTCCATTCCCATAGAAACTTGCTATATTCATGCTTGATGGCTTTATCATTCACCCCAACACAACATTCGTTACACTACGCCACGTTAGCAATTGGTTCTACAACCACGATTCATTAGAGTTATATATTCGCCGTAGATTTACGAACCGATGGCGTAGCTTCTAGACATTCATATGTGCTTGTAACAGCCTAAACTGAATAAATGATTTTGATTATGATTATCGGAACCCTATACAAACTGTAATAAAAAACTGTAAATTCTTTATTTTATAACAGTTAAAAAAACTTAAAAAAAAAGATCTTTACATGAAAGAAGAATAACAAAACAATTATGCCAGTTAATAATCATGATAGTATTATCAATTTTCATAAGTATTTTTATGAATGAAGGATGGAAACAGAAACCAATAAAAATAATTTCGTTTAAGTTTATTTATCGTCTGCTACTGATATTATAATATTTTATTTACAAAATAAATACTTAACAATTAATATTGCACATAAAGATTATACTTAATTAACAACAATATCAACCAAACTCGAAACAGGAATGGGTTCTCAATTAGACACAGTCGTAAATTTTACTATCGTAAGTCCATAAACATTTAGATAAGTATTTGCATAAACAATTCATTTGTGGATGAGCGGGTTCCCGCTGTGGGGATAATATTGCTTGCTTTTCTTATTGAAATTTTGCGTTGGGGACACGTCGTCCATGTCCCCTTCTTTATCCTGATGAGCTGTCATGTGTCGTGTTAAATGGTGCCGCTCCCTGAAGCTTTCGTTGCAGACTGGACATTTTAGTTTCTCCTCCCTCTTTCTCCTATTAGGGTCTGCGGTCGATTCACTCTTATGATGGGTGCGCATATGATACACTAAGTCTGAGGTCATCCTAAAGCTCACACTGCATTTGGCACAAACGTTCTGAGCTGGCAATGAAAAAGCAGCAAGAGTTGGTGGTAACAGTGTACTTAATATAGCCGCAGCAGGATTTGTTATAAGCGGGGTCACAGGTTCTCGCGGTTGCACGGGAAACTTCATAAAATCGGGATTGGGCGATTGGAAATTTTGCACTCCGAATGGGTTTGACGCACCGGCTTGAAGATACGGTATATCCGGTCGAAACGGGAGAAAGTTTAATTTATTCGGTGACATCAGCGGCGTTTTTGGGTCTGACTTTTCCTGATAATCGATGATTTTGTTGAAATTATTCCTCTGCTGCAACGAGTTGGGTTCCGGATAACTGGGAGACGATAATGGCACATTTTGACTTTTAAAGAAATTACTGCCGTTGAGTAGATGATTTGATGACAGTAGATTATTAAATCCTGCGCTTTTGTTAAAAGAATTTGTTGGTGGGCTAGCGGCCGCCAACGGAGGGCTTACTGAATTTTGATACAGCAAATTATCGGGACTCACAGACGGATTCGGAGATCGGAGAGCGTAGTTAGCCACTTTTGTAAAAGCACTTTTCGGGGACATATCCGGTAATTTATCTGCGTACCTATTTTCATATCTCGCTCTTGACTGCATGCTGATTAAAGTTGGATCATCGAAAATTTTATTTTTGTATTCGGGAAGAAATTTGGGATGTCTAGCAGCACTTTCGTTTGAGTTAGGACGGCTTCTTGATTTATCTGAGTTTTCTGAGTCACTACAGTACATGGATTTGCTTGGATATTCATCAGTTCCAACGTCAATGTTAATATCGGATCCAAAACCCGGAGATATGTTGTTATTCACTCGGATCCTATCCTCGTCGTGATCTTTGGAGTCCATTGTATTTTCGTTTGAATACTCACTGTGTTTGTATATTTCAGGAATCCTTTTATTCTGTTGCTCCCATTCTTCGCTGTTAAATAATTGTTTGGACACCCTAAGTTGTCTTTCTGGTTGCTTCGATCGAAGTTTCTCGTCCGGCATCATAAGAAATGCCACATCGAAGGATCTTTTTGATGCTTTTCCTGTATTTCCAACGGTGGAGAGCATATCTGTTTTCTGTAGCTGAGAAGTTCTCGCACTTTCAATGCTCAAGTTACTCGCTTTAGTGTCCGGCGACGCTTCTTTATAATTTTGAAAATTATTTTGAACGTCCATTGTCATTGTTTCTTCATTTATGTTGACGAGCACAGATTGAAACTTTTCACACTTATATCGCAACGAGAAGACAGAGACGCGTGCGTACCACCCGGCAGTTAAACGTTGAATGCGAGGGTAACATAAGGGTGGAAAATATATAAGTGGGGTTTTGATCTACCCTTAACAGAGCCTTTGAAGTTGGGAGGCGTGGCCGGCTCGACGAATGAGCGCGGAGCGGGAGGCGTGAAGGCGTTTCGCCGGCCAATGGGAAAGCTTTAGCAGATGGAGAGCAGGAGAGCTCAATCACCGGGTCAAGATAATAATAACTGCTGCGAATTGAGAGCGCATTGAGCAGTGGTAGGGTCAGCGCGACAATGATATTGAAATCTTTGACTCTTCGTGTAATATGGACCACGAGCGTATGAATATTTATTTCATTTAAATATAGTTGTTTCTAGTTATTCAATCATATTTGATATTGAATTAAAAGTATTATGAAATTGGAAACATGAATGTAAATACAGTGTAAAATGCATATTTTTTGAAATTTATGATATGCATCAAATCTTAATTTCTAGACTCTCCTATCTTTCCATGATTGTCAAAATTAATTAGATAGTTCTTTATTCTTACAAAATTATCCGAACATATTATACTGTTATTATTATTATAATGTCCTGAATTTCTTCAGGACAACAATAAAAGTACGTCAAACTTTCTTTGACAAAGAAAAGTTTTCCCGCAATTATTTTTTATTGTATCCCGTCCAAACATAGCGGTAGAAAAACTCCACCGATTATGAATGCAATAAATATGTTTTATATGTCGCATAAAAAATGATACTTCTCCCATAGTCGGCCTAACCCCCGAGTGTATGGATGAGATTGCGAATAATGCTATTAACACAGACGCTTCTTCTCAAATTGATATCTTACTCAGAAGGCAGGCAAAGAAATTTGAACACAAATCTCTGGAAAATACGGTTGATTTCCATCGAAACTATGTTGAAGCTAATACAACGGCAACTGCTGAAATAAATCCAACCTTATGTGAAGTCACAAAAGCAATAGAATCGTATGAACATATTTTTATAGAGAAGTAAAAAGAAGACTCAAATGAGTTCTGTTCGGTAGTCGGTAACGATAATAAGATAGGCCCAGACGTTAAAGGAAAGCCATTTGTCAGATTTTAGCCATTTTTTTCGCCATTCGTTCGCACTCAATGAAAATCTGTTCCATTTATTTTTGGGGCACGCTAATGAGATTGTGAAATTAATGTTTTTGGTTTTTAATTACTGTTTCATTTGACGCCTTCTGATTCAAAGCTTTGTTATAATTGTAAGGTTACTTTAAACTATAAATGAAATCATGCCGATATCTATACACTTTTTCATTATATTACTTAAGTTTTCACTCGTAAACATTTTTAGCTTGCATCAGTTTTTCAATCAAAGTGTTGTGCCAAGATAAATCCAAAATTATATGTACCGGTATTTTTTCTATAAATATTTTGTGAATTTACAATTCGTAAAAAAGTGAGGATTTTAATTAATATCAGCGGTATATAATTAGTGATATTACATTTTTTTAGTGATTATTATCATTCCACAAACTATTGCTGACAAAAAAGTAGGCTACACCCAAGTATTACCGACGACTAACTTGTGTTTTCACATATTTTTTGTGCGCCCATCGTCGGTCATTTGTCATGACTTTGGCATAAAAGGGAGTCGTAACTCGATTCTGGATTATTTTTTTATTGTAACAGGAATGCCTCCTCATGTTTTATTGTTCGTGTTTTACATAACAGCTTCTACGCTGATTCTCTTTTATTTTTTTTCCCCAATCTGACGTCAAGGTTATTTTGAACCTGTGTTTGTTCAAATCACATCACGTGTAAATAAAGTTAGTTGTATTTAATTTTTACGGTTGCTGGTTGTCTATAAGTATTTTATATGCCGTAATATTTAAAAAAAAATATCTTCCTTATCGTTGATTCCTACGGTTAACTTCATCATCGTCATCATCATCAGCCTATTAATGTCCCAACTGCTGGGGCACAGGCCTTACCTATGGATGGAATAGGGAGATTGGGCAATGACCCACCACGCGGGCCCAGTGCGGATTGGTGGGTGATAACGACTGCAGATGCAGCCGAGACCAACGGCTTAACGTGAAGCACGGAGGAGCTCGAGACAGTAAATTTTTGGTCACCCATCCAAAGACCGACCACTGCAAAAGTTGCTTTACTTCAACGACCGCAGCCGAACGCGCTAACCACTTGCGCCATCGAGCTCCTCACGGTTAACTTGGCACATCTTTATTCAGAATATTTACTTATTATAAGGAATTGAATGTCTTGCAACACATTAATGAAGAATGTTACTAATTTGTAACTCTTATGTTTAATCAATATCTTTAACAAGCTTAGTTACATCAATTTACGGAGTTACATTATCTTCTTTTGTTTGTTCAACACATTCGGAGATTCGATCAACTTGTGTTGTAATGGCAGCATCATCGATCAATCGGTTGGTACACGCCAATGTCGCCGGAACATTTGTCCGCTCACTTAATAAGACGTCAGGTCTCTTGTCACCAAATTGATGGATCTGAGGAAATGTATAAATCGTTTCGAAGATGGTTTTTAACTCTTCCAACGATTGCCAATTTAATTGGTTATACAGACTTACAAAATCTGTATAATTAGATATTATCGTATCATCCAATACATGAATTTGAAAGTAAAATCAATATCCTTATTACATTAATTATAACTAAACGCCTAGCAATGATGCTTTATAGACAGTGTGATAATATAAAGTTTGTTATTATTCAATCCTATTGAGTTCTGGAATGCTATTCTGTAAGAACAAATACTTTTCACCGCGAAATTCACCGGTGTGATTTGAAATGTATTTAATTTTAAATCATACCGCGGATTCCCAGGTGAAAACTAAATTTTATTTTTACAGAATATCACTGCGGTTAGGAAACTGTCATGATTTAGTCGGTTTTAATATAATGACTACCATTTTTTTTGTACAATCATCATTATCAGTTGATACATTCTGTAAATCATTTCATGTAAATGTATCCTAATTCAAAAGGGGTTTTGTATCTCGAATTACCTGGCTTCAATGTAAGTATTTTATTTTTAATGTTTTATAACATCTTTGAATTTATATATTTTATAGATTTCTACGAAGGATAAAAGTACAAAATCATAAAAATGAAACGAAACAAAAACAAAAGAATTAGAAAAAGAATACTTATCCATTTCCAGTTGAATCTTTGCTACGAAGATTGTCGTCATAAATTTAAATCCTTCTAAAAATGATCTTTGGCTGTTACAGTCATTGCTTTATCAGTCGATGATAAGTAATGAGCGACGCGTGGCTTTCGTCAAATGCACGTGACATTTATAGCCCAAACACGAGGGGAGGGGAAGGAACTAAAGTACCCATCAAATATGAACTTTATAGCATTAACATAAGGGCCAAGGAAAGTGTTAAATCAACTTTTCTACTTTGACATATAAGCATTTAAGAGGATTATCTTATCTTACAAAAATGTCGATATTCAATTCACTAGGATTTAGTTTATTGAGAGCTTTATTTTCCGGTACATTGCGTCCATTAGGTACTTCATTAGTACACTCAATTACATTGCAAATCTTGTGTACTAGTAAGTACTTTTTTTTATTATTTGTAATTTGAATCCGCAGGCTTGTTTTTATTTATTGTGTCTTCATGAATCATCTCTGAAGTCATTTTTCAACTTGACGACTCTGTAAATAATAAAACAGGGAGAAAAAAAAAAGGTAAATTTAAAAAATCAAAAAACCCGACTGCTTAATTATACTTCAAATAAAAACTGAAAAGAAAAAAACAAGTCCAGTAGTCTATAATTCTGTTAATAAGGAACAAAGCTACTTTAACAGTCGGGACCCACTGTTGAAAAATATTATGTATTCTTGAATATCTAATGGGTCCCGACTGTTAAAGTAGCTTTGTTCCTTATTAACAGAATTATAGACTACTGGACTTGTTTTTTTCTTTTCAGTTTTTATTTGAAGTATAATTAAGCAGTCGGGTTTTTTGATTTTTTAAATTTACCTTTTTTATTTCACACTTTTTAGTTAGTTAGTATTTTAAGACGGTATATACCGTAGTCTTGTTACTTCAGTAAGGGAATTAATATCGCGGGAATTATTAAGTACCTTAAGACAGTCTAAAAATGAATCTAATGATACCGCATACATATTTTTTTAAAGGGAAATTTAGAAAAAATATTATTATGTCTTTATCCCGTGGGACTTTTAGGATAAAATGTATCCTATGACACTCCCGTAATCAAGACAAATCTAACGATACCTCATACATCAAAATCCATCAAGCCGTTTAGGCTACAGGAGGTCACAAAGGAACAGACATACATACATACTTACATACACTCCCTCAACATTACCCTCCCTCTTTGGCAGTCGGGTAAAAAGGCCCTTGCTGAGTTTCTTGCCGGTTCTTCTCAGTACAAGGTCTCCCGCCGAAGATTAACGAACCGATGCATGGCGTAGCTTGTAGACATTCATGAGTGCATGTAACAGCCTAAACTGAATTAACGATTTTGATTATGATTATTATCTTTAGAAAATAGCAACATGATGAAAACCAGTCCCATTTTAGAATAACCGTTAGCTTTCGCCCGCACTATTTATTTAGCGGTAACATAGTTAACTCTATAGAACTTAATGAAATACGTTATAACTTATTAATTTAACATATAAACTACTTCTACGAAATATTATTTTAAACTTCCATGGTCTCTAACGATGAAGATACGAAAAAAAAAGTCAATCACATCTTGTTATTCTATATTCATGCAGACAAACTTGGAAAATCCGCTTTTTAAATTCTAAAATCATTTATACAGTTTAGGCTTTTACAAGCATATGTGAAAGTCGAAAACTACACCATCGGTTCGCAAAACTACGGCGGGAGACCTTGTACTGAGAAGAACCGGTAAAAAACTCAACAAGGGCTGTTTTTTTCTTCCTGTATTATTATATACAGTGTAGTCAAATTGAAATTTAGAGAATGCCTCACGTCGTAATCTGC